CGTCTCTATCTTGCAATCTTCATTAGCAATACTAGTCATGAGCACGTGCAATCTTCATATCATCTTAGAAAAAAGATGATATGAAAAGTTTTGAATAGTTTGATATATATCATTGAATAAATTAGACATATAGAAGAAGGATGCCTCAGAATTATGCATTTCAGGTATCTTTGTATTATGAAAACATAAGGTAAACAACTCACCTCATTAGTCCATAATGGCTAAGCATAAGTTGTCGATCATGCAGTGGGTCTAGATTTGATCTGACAATGCATGCAAACTGAGGGTAATTCAAGTGTTTGAATTTAATTCCAGAACATACACACATAGCAATCGAATTGCCGGATCTCCTTAGTCCAATATCTGATTGTTATGAAAGCATGTCGCATGGATGCACAACCAAGTTAACTATCATGCATGTACATCCATGTTAACTAGCAAATCATAGCTCCAAAACCTTTAGATGGAACTAAAGGAAAACTAGGGAAATTAAATACACATGTACGACTTGGGCCTATGTTAACGAATGTAAAAACAGTATTTTGTGCGGGGCCCAAAATTCACCAAAGTATAGATGTGTTCTGCAAAACAATGCATTTGTTTTAAAAAAAATCAAACTATATTAAATTAAAATATAAAAAATTAATGTGATGAAACAATAATAAAAATGGCTTAGCAACTTTTTTTGGCAATATACATTCAAATAAACATATAAGCAATGTTGAAAAGCTAGAATATAAGATGAGAATTTTGTGCATGCATCTTGGAAGAATGTCATTGCACTAATAAAAATATAAGATGGATTGAGGAAGAAAAACAAATTTATTATACGTCACTAGTGTTTTAGATTTAGATATTTAAAAAAATCCTCAAAAGAAATAAGAAGACGATCAGATCACATTAAGGTGCTCTTTCTTTCCAATTTCTATTGACAACGTAGCATGGAAGAAAGACACACATGGTAGAGGAAGATGCATAAGTAGAAGACAATAAGAGATGCAAACATGTGAATGCGAAATTCAAATGATACGGTAGATATATTTATTTTAAGATAATGCTTTTCACAAAAGGTGTATTTCGATAATATGGAAGGTTCACCAAAGGCAATAATAAATAAGATGTGAATTAGGAACAACCAAAGATGGATGCATGCGTAATGATTACATGGCATTGGGTAATAAGGATTAGAGATCTCCGTCAACTAATTTATGTGTGCGACAGAGCATATATCATGAAGAAAGTGAAAAGATGTTGTGACTACAATAGTAAAGGTATAAGCAAAAACCATGTGAAGTGGCTAAACAATCATCTCAACCAGGTTAAACTATTAATAAAGCAAAACAAGATCGATGCGATAAAAATAAGCAGAACCAAAGCATCTGTTTACAAAGTGCCGACATTGAAGAGTAGAAGAGAGACATAAGTAGATTACAAATAAGGCACATGAATATAGAGTAAAATTATATGGCAGGTGCATTTATTTTTGAATATAATTTTCACAAAAATCAAATTTAATTATTAGTTTAGTACTAAAATAGCACACTAATCAAATACATGAACTGTAATGCAATTAATGATCAAAGAGAACACAAGATTTAATTACGAATAATCGATCTACAGATTTAATTCTATATGGAGATTTTTGCAAGAATCAATGGTGAAAATCAGTCATGGCAAAATGAAAATGTATGTTTTTTATGTGGGCACACAAACCTCAAGGCTATCAATTTTTGGTTGTCAAAATCATGGTCAATTCCAACAACTAATACACGCAATGAAAGGACTTATGCCAAAATATATTCACGTGTTATGGAAACATACTTTTGGCTAAAAAATACCTATACCATTTATATATAAAAAGGTAATAAAAGGATTAAATAAATAAATAAAATACAATTAGAGACCTGGGATAATAACAGGTAAAAAATACCAAATGTAAAGGATGGAGGAAATCTAGCTGGGTAAATGTTTGTGTCATCTTCCTAGATAGTATATATGGTAAAAGTGTAAATTTCACTGGACTATTCCTATAGCTGTTGTTTCTTAGCAAGAATATTTTCCAACAATTTCTATCTCGACCATTTTAACAGTGTTTGTAAACAGTAGTGTTGCTTGAATCAACTAATGTCACAAACGCCAAATTACAGCTTTCTTCAATTGAAAACAAGAAATTTGTTGCTGTGTAGCGGACTCACGTTTAGGCTAGTCATAGTGGGAAGTAAGTTAAACTAGTAACATGTATATGTTACTTGTCTATTTTACGGCCTTGTTCAATTAGCTGCATATTTTATTTTATTTTTTGAGAACTGAGATGCATGTGTGCAACCTCTCAATAATATCGTGTGGCTCCCGCAGTGAGGACCGATGTCTTCCGCCAACCACGTGATGTAGAACTTGTGACTTGTGATGCGTGCATTGATGCTAGGCTTGACATGGTCATTCGTTGGCAGGTGTGGTCAAGGCTTTCATGATGATGAGAATTTTAGTATTTGAAAGAAGTAGAGAAAGAATACAAAAAATAAGCCTTTGCCTCCGTTCATTTACTGTACTACGCAACAGCTGCATTCGTATGGCGACACGAGTTGGACTGCTAGCTGCCATGCCAAAAACTCGCAGGGGTACGAAGGTGTAGGGGCACACTCGCGATTCGCAAAGTAATTAGATCCTGCATAAGAGCATCTCTAGCATACCTCACATAACGCCGACCTGCAAAACGTGTTTGCAATTCGCGGAAAAATGACTTTGCAGGCCGGCGTGGATGGCCGCAGAAACAGACCCCGCAAAACAAACCCATATAAAAGGATATTCGCGGAATATAGTTTTTTTACGGGCCGGCTTTGCGAAGTTTGGTCTGGCGCCGCTCCCGCCCACAAATCCTAAATTTGCATCTCAATTTGACACAAGATAATGCATTTCTTTACTTTTCAACAACATTGCATACATAGGACATCACCAAATCTTTGCTAAAATAGCAAGACCAAAGAAAACAAGAATCGCAATTATGCATTTTAGAAGATTTTCAATTTCCATAACTGCTCCCACTAATTGGACCAATATCTTCTCCATGCATTCATTGTTGATCTGTGAATTCTTGATTTTGCATTCTTCATTCTTCTTCTTTGGTTCTAAAGAAGTAGACGTTGCTTCCCCTCTAGTTGCACATGCAGCCGCTTCATTGCCTTCGATTCTACTAAGGAGTGCACGAACGTCTATTAAGTTTCTTTCTATCAATAAATCAATGCATTCGCCTTCCCAATACCAAAATGAGCATCTGTCTTCCTACACACATGATGATATTCGAAATGAGCTATCGCAATTTAACCAAAGAATGCGGTGTCAAAGCCGAATGAAAACAACACGTACCCTATCATTTTCGCATTTGAAGAACACCCATCCGGGGTGCTTCGGCGTGCCCGAAGTTAGCCGCAGCACTGTCACCGGCATTCCATCGCTTGGCACAGCCACCGGCGGCCGGAAAAGCCAAATCCGG